GCATTTGAATGTGTTTTCATGTGAGATCTAATTTTATTTCACTGAATTCTTCCTTAAACTTCTCTGATTTTTGAATGGAACCTTGAAGTTGTTCTATTTATTTGTTATTGAAAGCTTGATATAATAACAATGGAGTCACTGAACTCATTAAACCAGACACTGAAAACGTTACACTACAAGTTAATGTAAGAGAACATTGAAGGAACAAATCGACTACGGAACCAGGCAAGGCCCGTGTATTGCAGGAACCGTATCCCGGTGTCTGCATCAAAAGAGTCTTGGTTCAAGAACTGATACAACTTCTGGAGATACCTTGGTGAGTTTTTGGTTAAGTCTGTCTTCTTCTCTGTGGCAGACCCATTGTTGAGTTTGGGAATGTAGGAACTGGATCTTACTGGAATGCCAAGTGTGTTAGACACATTGGGCAAGATCTTTTTCGTGAGAGATTTACTGCAGAATTTCACCGACTATTGTTGGTATCCCCACAAGAACTCTTCCAACGAAAGATGGAATTGGGAGCTCTGCTGAGAAGATTTGAGGGGCTGATTCGTGGTGGAATTGGCTGTAAGTTTGTTGGACTCCGGTTACCTAAGACAAAACGCGACACCGGTTTTAGTAAGTCACATACGATACAACAGTTTGCTACTATAGAACCTTCTTTTTGCTTACTATTCCTAATGCAACGCCATTGAAGGCTGTGTGGTACTCAAATCTTGGAGTTGGATGCTCAGGACTCGGATAAGCAAAGAGCAAATAGGAGACTCAGTGCAGTCCAGAAGGAGCTAACTGTACAAAAGCACAGAGGAATTGGTTAGAAGGTCATGGATAAGTTCAATATTTGTTATGGTTTGAGAAATTATGTGCGATTGCGATACCATTTTGCCTTGAGATAATGAAGTCATCTATGGTTTCACTGACGGTTAGCCAAAGGGTTAGTATTAGCATTCCCAAGGCAAGACCACCTATAATGTCGATCAGACTGTGCATACCCAAGTAAACCCTTCCTAAGAAGAGAATCAATGGTGTCACTTGATAAGTATGACACACATACAGAAGCTATGACTTTCTCATTGGACTGGTAAGAGTTTACAATTATAAGATTTCAAGTTTTATGGCTTGTGATGTGTTCTCTCTATATTCATCAAGCTTCGCTTGAAGCTCTTTTTTACAATCTCACAATATGTACAGATGTACTAATCGATAGTTTGTGTTATGTAAAGGTTAGGTAGGGCTTCTATTGGAATTCTAAACGATTTTTGCTTTAAAAACAAAAATGATAACTTCAAACAAAAAAAAACCATGTGAATTGATGGTTAGAGAAGAAACAAACAAACCCAAAGACAACAAGACAAGTTGACTCAATAAGAACAAAACACGACGTGTTTTCACAACGAAGACAATAATATACAAACAGTCCAAACATTAAAGTATTGATTAAGGCTTAAAGGATTATGGAGTCTGACTATTTTTCTCGTCATCATTGACGGATTATGATTTTTTTTTAGAATATGAAATTTGTAAAAATTGTGAGCCTCCAAAATTCGACTAGTCGTAGACAGCGGTTTTTGGCTGGTCTAGACTGCATGGGTTGTGGCGGTCCAACCCACGATCTATTCATATATTTAAAATCATAAAATATTGCAACTATATTCTTTTTTCTAATTTCTATTTATATATCATGCACTAAATTTCACTTTTCTTAGTTACCAAGTTCTTATTTAGTTTGAAGAACACTTTCACTGGTAAACTTTTGTTTAGTTTTTGAATAGTTTCACGTAATCTATACATGTTAAACGTCACTAATGTTTTGTCACCTAAGCATGATAAACGATAACATATGAATGTTTTCGTCCCATTAATAATGTTGTAATTTATAAAGTTTCACAATTTGTTTTTGGGACTAAATCATTAAATTCAGCCAAAACAACCTTCATTATTTTGTAACTAATAATTAACTCAATCATTAACTTCCAAATTTAAAAATTGATTTCCTTCTAACGAAATTCAAATCATCAAATAAAACATTTTTAATCCTAAATTTCTTTATTATATTTATATTATATAATTTTTTCTGTTATTTTCCTTTCTCCAAAAATAACCTCACAATTATCATTTACTTTCATGAGTTGAAAAAAAAACATTAATTTTTTATACATATTTTATATTTATAATTTTAAATGTTCATATAATATGTTTATATATGTAAGAATTTAATCCGTTATGATTAATTTCTTAATTAGTTTATTATTAAACTAATACGTGTAGAACCTATTTTAGTAGGATCGATATATATATGGTATACATTTTTTTTTTAGAAATTCAAAAAAATGTTACTTTTCAAGTGTCACTTTACAAAAATGTCATACTTTTGAAATCTTTACAAAAATACCATTTTTTCAAAATTTTTTTTTTTATATTATTTATGTTTGGGTTAATTATGTTTTATTAGGGTTTAGTTGTGAGTGTTTAGGGAATTTTAGGTTTCAAAACATTT